TGTGTGTAATAGCAGGTATTATATTAACCTTCTGCAGTACATTGGGTTAGATTAGCTTAGAAATTTTTTCTGACGGTTTTAACGAAGATAAACGAAGCTGTAAAATTTTGAATCATCCGTTGTTGATATTTTCGGAGTGTGTAATAGCAGGTATTATATTAACCTTCTGTAGTACATTGGGTTAGATTAGCTTAGAAATTTTTCCTGTCGCTTTTAACGAAGATAAAATTTTGCATGTTGCGTGGTCTGTGTTATTGAAACGTGCAATAGAAATTATTCTGCGAACTTACCAATAGTACATTCGATTACTGCTAGTAAACCACCGATGTTTCTCGGGGAATTAAATTTGAAATTTGACGTAACAGAACCTGAACTGAAATTTACATAAGTTCAAGCCAATCAGACATTCCGATTTTATTTTGCACAACGTATGATCAAATCAAAAGCGAGAAACGATTGAATTGAGCAACCATGAGCGTATAGTAAATTCATCAAGCTCCTCGTGGGTTTGCTGGGAACATTCGAGTGTCTCAGACCTCTGGGTGCGTTCCACTTTGCCTGCGTATTCCGTGGAAATTAATTTCCTCGCTGCTAAGAGAAATGCAGCGTGCCCCGCGATCCTCTTTTAAACACGTGCCATTCCATTTCGTAAGATATTACGTTCCCGCCTCACGTTACTCCTCGAGTGTAAAACAGGCGTATGTTGAAAATTTCGAGAATTATTCAGACTCTAATTATATCAGTCGAAATTACCAGAATAGTTGCATCATTTTCTGATATTTTTTCAAATTGAAACAATCGAATCACACAGTGTAATCAGTGACATGGATTTATGTTCGCTAATACTCTGATTATGAAAGTGATACGATTCCCTCTGTTTCTGACTTAAAAAAACGTGGCTTTTAACTATTTTTCTTTTTTAATTATTTCAGATTATAGTAACGTAAACTAAATGACAAACTCAAATTTTCTCCATTTTTTGCTTAGGCTACTTTCACAATTATCTCTACTAGATAAGTTTTCTAACCTGTAATTTTCAAGGAAACGTAATTAGCGACCCAAGATAAGA